CTCTAATCCACTGCGGCGACGACTTGGTAAAACAAGAGATTTAATGGCCTAGGAGCTCAGCACGTGCGTTTTAAAGCTTTGTATATTTTTTAGCCGTCTTCTGTAAAAAAGAAATACATAAAAATATGAAATCGCTCAAAATTCGCCTTATTGTGAGAACGGGATCCAGAAAGAAATTTATATAGGTTCCCATTTGGAGCTCAACGATGTTATGCTGGAGTGGAGGAGACGAATCTATACGAGCACGTAGACACTCCATCCAGCTGCACAATCGGAATGAAACTGATTCAGCTACCAGCTGATCCTCTTTTTTATGAGACAAATGGGACCTTCTCGATCCAACCATCCAAACAATGATATTGAGACAGAGATAAGGCATCCATTTACCACTGCAGAGTCCGCACTAAAATTTCTCACATATCGTGCTCTGTTCTTGTGCAAGACTCTTTATCTTCAATACTTAAAACTTGTTGCTCGAAATTGGAAAAGCCAAGGAGACCGTGGTGCTGAAATACGTGGGCCACTGTATCCAGGCCTGGTATTTAAGAAAAAAATGATAAGCAGTTTGCACTGAGAAGTAGTCGAACGGCTTCACCGTTGGAAGTCTGGACACAAGACTAACAGAGAAGACATTTAAAAAAGCTCTGCAGGAGGGCCGAAGTTAAAATTCGCGTTCATTGACGGATCAGCGTTGAAGCTCCAGAGAGCATGCAAGAGTCCAAACTTTTCGTGCGTAGGCTTCAAGAACTAGATGAAAGGTTTGTAAACACAATCATTAGAAAGAATGAAATTTTTTACATGCCTTTCAGATGCTCACCCATGTGAAGAATTATACGAAAACTCTTTCTTTCTACAGGCTGCCTGTGTTACAATAGCAGTTCTGATACAATATTTCTTGATGGCCGCTTTCCATTGGATGCTGATTGAGGGAATTGATCTCTACTTCTTCGTTGTGAAAGTTTACAACATCAACACCAAAATGTACATGTATCACGTCATCTCATGGGGTAAGTTCATTTTTTTACAACATGCACTGGAAACTGTAATCATGCTTTCGGATCGCCAAATATGATGTTGTCATGCAGTGAAATGTTTCGATTTCCCTCCTTTCTTTGTGGGTAGGTCCTCTAGTGATCTTGGTGGCCATTTTACCTGGCATCGCTACTGGAAAAAAAGGAAGGGTTACAAAGCTATACGAGTGATAAATAGTGGGAAAAAAAATTCAAGGGTTTGTTCTCGCTCTTCTCCTTTTAATTTGTTGCATTTAATTCTTGTTTTGTTTTTGTATATATTTTTAAATCGGTATCATTTCATTTGCTGAAAATTTGTCTTTCTTTCTTTTCTTTCACTTCTTCGAGTTTAGCTGCTGACTTTCCTCGATTAACAACCTCATTTGGATATTCGTCGCCTATGTAGCTTTCATTGAGTTTATGATTAGTGTTGGTGATTGTGATTGGTATACCTGTACTAATTGCTGCCAAATATTTTGTCTCTGCTCTTTAAAAGCGAGTTAAGTATTTATGAAATGACCCCGCACAACATTTACCATTTTTCTTTTCCTATTTACTCACAAAAAACTTTGGACGTAGCCGCTGTTTGCGGGGATGCTGGTCAATTTTTACCTATTGATGTCTTCACAGGCATAGGATAGCTTCATAAATTCTCCAACTTTTGCTACATAGTATAAAAAAAATATTCTGCTTCCTTGTTGATTTTTTCTCACTGTTTCACATTGATATTTTGTCGCGCAAAAATAATAAAAAAAAAACATTGAGCAAGATGAAAGGAGCAGGAAGATATGGAGATATTAGGTTTATATAATTTAACATAAGGATTCACTTTGCATAGTTCACTCGGTTTAGACACTTAAGTTCGAGATTCTTTAGCTCTTTGTCAGAGAATCGAAGCTCATAATCTAGGTCCCCAAGTTTGGAGTTCTATTCCCTGCAAATGACTCTTCATCCAACACTTGTTACCAAACTAGTAACGTCTTCGGCATGGATCCTCTCCTGTTTTGGCTATTCGATAACCATATCTAAATAATCAATTTATTTCTATTACATTCTTCAGCTCAACATCTTGATACTCGTTCGAGTCATAAAGGAGATGACCAATTTGTCGCAGCCAACAGGGGAAGACGACCACTCTCAAAAAATAAAAAACTAAAACAAAAAAGTGGAAGAGGTTGCCATATTCTCCTGTGAGGCTTTTCAAAAAAATATACCGAGAGAGAGCTACTATGGAAGATTGTTAATCTCGAGTTAGATTAGAGACAACTATGATATTGTGTCAGTGGTGAGCTAAGAAGTATTTTGTGGTGGGCCTCAATCAGTTTTTTTAAGGATAATTATTCTACTTCCTTTAAGAGTCTCTCCTTGGTAAGGATATAACAAGTTGTTTAATAAATTAGTTGGGTTTGTTTGTAGATATTGCTCTTTCTGTCGTTGAAATCGTATTTTATAAATTAATTCAAATAGTAATCTGATTGGCCATAAAACCATTTTACATGAGCATATGTAAACTCGATAAGCTGGAAACCACTCCCCTTCACGTCGTGGTTTCCTACGCTTATCGAGTGTTCTCCCAACTTCCCGCGTGTTTACATCAGGCTATGTAAACACGGAAAACATTTTTCATTTCTTCAGTAACAAGTAATACTAATAGTCTTAGCAGGTAGCGCTGACATTCAAAGTTGTTGTTTAATGAACAAATAGATGAATACGTAAATGTTTGAATAGATAAACAGCTCATTTAGAAAGAACAAGAAAAACCCTTATGACTGGATCTTTTGTGGATCAGTTGCATTTACCCATTTTTTTTTTCGCATTTCTAAGACAGGAGTAACGTTTTGAATCGAAAATACATCGACTAACTTGGAATTAAATTGGGACAATGTTGGGCGGAAATGGTGTAAACTAAGGGATTATAAACTACTCGGCACACATAATTAAACAACGATTAAAGAACTTTTACATAGAGTATACAATTTAAAGGAAAAAGCTTAGCGACAGAAATGCGGAATATTTCAATAAGCCCAGTTTTCAATTATAGCTATTGTGGAGACGTAGCATTGAAAAGGAATTCCAACAAGTAAGAGAAGGAGTCGATTACGTAGATGTGCCTAGCAGTTTATAACAGTCTAGGTTACGTCATACACGTTTATAAATAAACATGGATGAAGAAACGTCCGATTAAGACAAAAGAGGTAAAAAAAAAATTAATCTAAATATATAAGTACATTTCTCTCTACACCACTCAAATGTGATAGGTCAAAACGCTCCAAGCTTCGAATAACTAAATACATCGCAGCTAGGACTGGGGAATATTCTGGACTAAATAATTAATTATTCCATGAGCGTGGAGATACTAAGAAGAAATCCGAAAACCGAAAACCAAGAAGAAATCCTTTGATTCAGGGTTTGCCGTGGTATGAAAATAATAATGTACGTTAATTGACACACGAGCGAGTTACTCCATCAAAGTTGAAGGCATACGAAATAATTAGACCCACCAACTGAAAAGTATGTCATAACGAAGATGAATAAATGGCAATCATTTCCATTTTTGCATATGAACAGATGGCGTACTAGCTTTAGCTGCCGGTTGATAAAACAGAAGTTGTTTAAGACAACTTCCATTTAGCAGAGCTCATAAAGAAATTTACAATTCTTAACATCAATTATTTTTGAGCTGCTTCTTTAAAAAACTTGACCTACAAAAAATATTTAAATGCCTTGAAGTTTTTCGATTGTATTAGTAAAACAATGCTCTACACCTGGTGGAAGCTGCTTTTTGTCTATTGGTCCGACTATGACAGAATAAGAAAATAGAGACTTACGACATGAGCATGTCATCAGAGATCATGACTTGCATGCATTAAACTCTAACTCGTACAAAAGGGTTTTATGGGGATGCCGCAAGTCCGCAAGTCTCCTGTGGGATGAACGAAATATAAGCGTAACGATAACTCTGAACAATAACCTTTGATTTTCTTGGGCTTTCTTGGACTTTCATGATGAAGTGGATGGTAAATGGTGCTGAATACGGCAAAATTTTCAAAACCCTTTTAATATGCTGTGTGCTAGGTAAGTAAGCTATGACACCGTCGAAATTGACTTTCAATTTGTGAAATGCTTATTTCGATTCTTACTCCTACGGAACTTTAATAGCGAAACATACCAAACTCTACACTAGTCCTTCTAAACTATTTGTTAATCATTCAAGCAAAACTTGGGGATTCTTTTATTATCATCATTATCTTTATTATAAGTTTCTGAATATTTTTCACTTTCCATACAATGCCAAATAATTGAGAAAAAAGTTACCCGGAATGACACATTCGTACAAGTGTAAAGACAGGTATTGACAGCAACCGATAATAGTACCGTGCGCTCGATGAGTTGCGAGATGAGTACAATTAATTCCAACAAAGTGGGCAAATTTTTTTTAATAGTTGTGCGCTAGGTTAGTACCACCTTAATTATATCTCGACTTCCCATTTGCAAAACATTTCTATCGATTTTGGAACTTCCTGTAAAACTCAGCCAAACCAATGCGGGAAAAAAATGTCAGGTGGCGGTTATATGGTACTCTTGATTAGAACAAAACACACCGGACTCTAAAGATGCCCGCATTAAATGCGGGTATCTTTAGAATCTAGTGTTTTTTGTTTTAATTGAGAGTGCCAAATAACCGCCACCAGATTTTTTTTTTAATTAGAGAAGGATCTCTTATAAATTGGGTTCCTTGAAGCCCTTAATACAAAGCAAAGTAATAAGAAAGCAAATAGCACAAGCTGGAGATTGGCGCGGTGGTCATGTTGTTTGCGTCATGGTTGTCTACACAAAAGCTTTGGCAGCCACATTTAAGATAGCTTAATTGCCATCGTTTTATGCCATTATGACAAGATGTCATAAGGGAACCACGTTTCCTCTTCAGATAGCTGCTGAACGTTCGACGTGCTTAGACAAGAGATCGAACTTAATCATCAGGGTGTACTTAAAATGATATTAAGTTACACAGATGCAAAGTTTAAAATTCGATCCGGGGTTTGGAAAAAAACATGGTTGAATTGGTGTACTTTTTCGTTTATCGCCCTATGTTAAAACATCATTGGTAATCATGAATTTCGATGGCTCCGAACGAGCCGTCGGTGGTTAAAGTGACGTGCACTCACAGTAAAATAATTAAAACAACCCTGAAAATTAAGCAATTTTTATGTGTTTAAATTCTGCAATGGAACTCATTACAACCACGTAGAGAATATTTTTTGATTTAAGCTTAATTAAAAAATTCTGTCGTTGGCTTTTAATAAAGTCCTCTTGTTAGTCATGTTTAAGGGATCACCTCAAAATTAAAAGCATCACAGGCGATGATGTTACTTTACGCCTCGTTTTCCTCATTCCAGGATCATGTACAATGAATTCCAAACTAAAGGTTTACTGAGAGCCTTCGCGTTATTCAAATATCGCGGAACCCAAACCGTTTTGGCTTTCAAATTATTATTCAATTATTAACACTCAGGGTAGGTGACTGCCAAATGCTCACCAAGTTGGATGTTATGGACAATTACAACATATTTCTGTTTTAAATTATATATCTTTGTAGCTGAAAGCAAACTTTATACTTATCTACTTGCTCTTCTTTTACACACACACACAAATATATATATATATATATATATTATATGGGTTCCACAGGTTCCGGGGCCTGCTGATCCATAGCTTTATAACACCCTAGAATATGGAAATTTCCTCAAAAATTTTGAAGACCAACCAAGATTCAAATTGTACAGAAGTTCTTTTTGAGCGGTCAGATTTGAAACCCGATTCCTTCGCTGAAAGAAACAGCCGTCGTCCGTTTCGAATTGTTGCAAGCTAAAAAGGAAACACTATTTTTCTTCTGAATAGCGCATTTCACATCCTTTTCATTATTTTATAATTTGGTTACACTTGAGGAACTTGAGCTCGCGAGGAACGTTCGCGAATGTCTATCGTTTCCTTATAAATATTTTCCACATGTAACAAGTTTTGTTCAGCTGGTTGGTAAATTGCGGAGATGCGACACTTTTTTAAATTTCTCTGTCTGCTTCCTAGGAAGGTTATGAAATTCGTGGGTAGATATCAAAGGGCATGAAGCAAATAAAATGCATT